GTGTGTGTGTGTGTGTGTGTGTGTGTGTGGTGCTAAATACGTCTGGGTGTGAAGTGTGCTAGGAGACAATGAGAAAACACTCTAGCAGCATGGAGGCTTGAGAAAACACCGTAGCACCATCCTCAGGCCAACCTCGACGATGAAATGGACAACCCAGCTTCTGCTTGCACAGGGCCCATGGGTTGCTTCCCACCCCTTTCCATCATTGATCACTTTCTATTCTATTTCTGGAAAGGTCTGGACTCTGGACCCTCTCATTATTTTTTTATATTTCATTATTTTCATGGAATTTATATCTTTTATGTTTTTGTAATACTTTGGACCATTTCACGATTTATGTGTCATCTACCAGGTAGCCAGAGCTCTTCTCATACCTAGTGGCTCTGAACTGTTTCGGGACAGCCTAGACCCATCAGAAGCGACAATAAGACTGGAAAAATAATGTTTTTAAGATTAAAACATTGAGAAGTCTATACTGCAGATTCACCTGTGGCGACATCGCTGCATCAGCTTCATCTAGTACCACTGGTTGCAAGACCTTCAGAGTCCGGACCTGGCCATTATCCGGGCCAATCCTCATACTTTGCAGCTTTGCAAAAATGGTTCCTTGTCTTGCCAATTTCTTCCATACTCCTGAAAACTTGGCGGCATTGCAAATCTATCCTGTAGTACTATCGCCTTCACCCGAATGGGAACTCGCCCAGATACAGATATAATGACTATGCGCTCTATTTGGCTGAAAGACGGTAGTATTGTACTATGCTATATTGGATAAGTACATGGGGGACAAGACTGTACGGTCTCGCACTGGTATTTGCAACATTGTTGGAATAACAGTGTACCTGCCCTATGGGTGGACATGCACACATGTAACTGTTGAGAAAGGGACCGAGAGTTCAAATCCAGTTCAATAGAATGATGTTGGGCTTTAACCCCATTTTAAGTTGTAACAAGAAAAATGAAAAAAACAAAATATTTCAAAGCTATTTTTTGCAACACTGTCGACACATGAAAAAGTTCAATGGAGCTTGATGGAGTCTATGCAGGTCTGCAGCTGGAACAAACCTTCGGGGTATTTCCACATCTTGTCATGCGGTTGGGGTGATGTTATGATGCCAACTACAATGGCTTATTTCTGTTAGAAGATCACAGATAAAATTATATAAATGCAGAGAGAGAGAGAGAGAGAGAGAGAGAGAGAGAGAGAGAGAGAGAGAGAGAGAGAGAGTAAGGATTGCTTGATAGTGGCTATCATAACGATGGGAGATGTACAGTCACATATGCGCTACCCGTGAACGATGAAGGAATTTGACCATGGGCCTCACTCCACTACACAACACTATACATGCGTTTAGACGTTTTCTGTACCAGGTGCACTCAGACGAGTCCAACATTTTGAACGTACCGGGTCCAGAAAGCGTCCAAATGCATATAGAGTGTTCTGTAGGGCCTCTCTCTCTCTCTCTCTCTCTCTCTCTCTCTCTCTCTCTCTCTCTCTCTCTCTCTCTCTCTCTCTCTCTCTCTCTCTCTCTCT